GATAGTTCTACATGAACCTTCCTGTTTTAACCTAGTAAACTAAACTAAACAAAGTAGCCTTATTATTTCTCATTTATTATCTTGGGAAAATAATTAATCGTTTTTTTTTTTTCTGATCCTAGAACTAAAAGTTGTGGGACCTTTAGATTTGTTTTGATTTTTTTCACACTGAAATACAAGATTTATGACTTAAAAGTACTCTCAGATTTAGGTAACAGATCTGATTTACTTCTTAACAGGAAGTTAAAAAGCCTTTCAACGTTTTATAGACTTTGTGAGGGTCCTGTTTGAACCTTGTCACTGACCCTAGACTGAAGGAATGAACACAGAGAAAACAGACATTGGCTAACAGAAAAATGTATTTACTTTATGAATGTACTTTGGTGTTTTTTGCTTTTCTCCTTTATTATCTTTCAAGTGATAGTGAAAGTTATTGTATAATTTAAGAAGAAAGGAGAAAGCTGTACCATAATTTTTCCCTTGCAGAGAAGCTATAGTGGCCATAGACTTTGTAGTCAGAAAGCCTGGGGTTTGAGTCATTATATCTACTTGTTATTTGTCTTTAGTAAGTTATAATCTTGAGCCTCAGTTTCTGGATCTGTAAAATGGGCATCATATCTTTGCCCTAAGATTATTGAGAGGATAAAATGTAGTTATTTGAGGTCCTTCCCTGGTGGCGCAGCACTAAGAAGCTTAAGTTACTTCAGCATGAGTTCGATCCCTGCCTGCCCTGGAGGAGATCCACATGGCGCCGCAGACCTCTCCTGACCCGCCCGCTGCTCCCCTAGCAGTGTACTTCCTTGGTCTGCCTGTTTTGCTGTCCACTCTGTCTCTGGTGAATCCTCTCACCCTCCACATCTCTGGCCTGTATACCCCAGTTCTGTATGAATAAATAAATAAATCTTTAAAAAAATGTAGTTATTTGAAAGTGCTTAGCAATCTGCCTGGCACATATTAGGCATTACAATTTGTTCTTTCAATTTTTCTCTTAATCATTGTCAAAGATAATTTGTAAGAATAATACAGTTCGGAGGAAATTACAAAAAAACTATCAATAAAGTATTGCAGCACGGCCCTTCTCGGTGGCGCAATGGGTTAGGACACAGCACTACAAGCTGGCTGCAGCTGTTTCAGTGTGAGTTTGATCTCTGGTTCCAGAGGGGAGCCACCTCCTGCTGTTCCCCTCAGCAGTGTAGTTCCACCTACCTATTATGCTCCCCACTGTTTCTGGTGAATCCTCACTGCCCCCACACCTCTGGCCTGTACCCCAGTTCTGTATGCAAAAATAAATCTTAAAAAAAAATTGCAGCACACTGAAATACCAGGGCTGCTACATTTAAGTACAGTTTTAACTTCAGAATTCACTGTAATCAGTATGAATATATGATATTGCGTTTATTTAGATGGGTTTTCTGAATACTAATTGCTGTGATCTTTATAGCAGACTTGTGAGGGTTGTGTTACATAACCAGAGAGACTGATTTGACTGATTTGACATGTGTAGGATGTAGCCAGAGCCAGAATATGAACTCTTGCTATAAATTTATTTCTACATACACTCATGTATACCTTCTAAGTACCCTGTTGCCACTGAAATTTCAAGATAATAATGACTTTGAGGCAATAGCATGGAATAAACCTCCATATAAAAATCTTTGGATATATACCCTTAGGTTGGATTCAAAGTGTAGCTGTATACCAGTTACTCTGTGGGGAATGGTGTTATAAATAGATACCAAAGTAGCAATATTATCTTCTCAAATATATTTTGTGGCATGTGTGTACATACACACTCATTTGTGCCTTCTAAGTATTCTATTAAACATTTAAAGACAGGGAAAAGCTTTCTCTGCATACTTCTAAGCCAATTTTGAGGTCATTGAACAGATGTCATATAATACTAATGTTAAATTACCCTGTGTAATAAGAAAATTACAGTACCTAAGTGAAGATAGTAAAGAGAAACCATCCAATGAATTATTCTAGAATTTCAAACTGAAATCATTTCTTGAAAATTAACAGTGGCACCAAATGATTTTAGAAAAGTGAATCTGATAAGGGGAAAGAAAATCAGAGAAATGAAGCCTTTTTTATCTATGACAAAGTATATTATTATTAAATTATCTGGCTAAAATTTTATTGAAATATGACTAACTTCTTATTGAGTTCCTTTATATGAAATCACAATCGTTTTCTAGTCTACATATATTTCCTTTTGTTGTTAGATATACTTTAAAAGCCTAATTATTTCGAGAACTTAGTATGACCAAAGAATCAAAATGTACTAAGTTTGACATCTTTAAATAAGCACTAGCGTTTCTTAAAGAACAAACCTCACTTACAGTTAGGAAACAATATTTATATTTAAGGTTGAAAAGCCAGGATGTAGGAAAATTTTGCTAATTTGGAAGATGACCTTTAAGTGCACCAAAACCAAATAATTTGTAGGCTGTGACATAGGGCACATTCCTACAAAATTTGTGTGAATACTGCTTTAGTGGTTCTTGAAAGACAAACAAAGAAAGTTGGAATGAAATCTTTATCCCCCTCCCAAGTAAGAGGGAGAGTAACAAAAGAGTACAGCAGCACTCTTTCAGAGCTTGCCATTGGAACGAGGGCTCTGTAGCACAGTTAACGAGATGGCTCATAGTGGAAAACAATCTGTTTTTAAGAATGTTTAGATCAAAAGTAATTTCTAATCTATGAAATAAAGTCTCTACAATACCCTTCATTCACCAGTAAGGCTTTTATGTTTGTATTATTTACTTCAATCAGATGTTTTCAATTTTACCTTTTTTTTCTTGTACAAATACTTGACATGGTTCGTCAATACTGACCAACAGTTTTATTCTTTTTCTTCAGAAAAGGGATTTTTGAGAGAGGGAGAATGAAAAAGAGAGAAACATCTTTGCCTAAACGATTTTCAAGCATCTGTGCTTTAAGCTACTTTTTATGAACACTCCTTAGTAAATGACTCAAGGTAAAAAAGCAGAAAAGCATCCAATGTTAGGAAATTGCAATCCAATACCATGTAATTTAAACCTGCAGTTGCTTCTCTTGTACTAAATGACATACAGATGGGTAGCTTAGTTTTCTCAACTTTGGGAACACAATTGGTCTTTTTGTATGAATGAACATACATGAACAAAAATATTTTGTATAGAATTATTTAATTCTAATTGTAGAGATTTTAATTACCCAGCCCATTGGAAGGAATAAGTTTAACCAAGATATTTTGCTGTGTTAAATTGATGATTGATAGATTTCTTGGACAAAATCAACAGAGATATAACCTTTCCAACAAATAAAGAAATAAAAACAAAAGGTACATGTAAGAAGTCTACAGTCAGTTGGGTGGGAACTTGCCCATCAGAGTTAGCTGGTTGTTTTAAAAAGGGCAGTTTTGCAGTTAAGTTGTAGAGAGGCTTGTTCTGACAGGACAGACATTTCTCAGGGAACATTTCTATCTCCCCCTTGGAAAATATTAAAAATGTAAGTAATAGATATTTGGATAAATCCCGGTAAAATATGGGGCCCAGTGGGATGAGAGATGAACAGCCTTTCAGTGCTATGCCAGCTGTTTCTGTGGCTCTTTCCCGGCCAGCACAGGGCAACGTGCTCTGTGGAAAGTCAGAGGAGGTGCTCCTGGAGAACCCATTGGAGTCATGCTCCAAGGTACACCTTTCTGTTTGACTCTGGTTAGCCCTTTTCCCACCTCCATATTTTTCCCACAGAATTAACCAGTCTGTCTTGGTGGCCTATATTCTGGAAGCTGAGATCCTTCAATCCCATAATCAGGATCAGTGATTAATTTTTTTCCTACTCTAGTTTTAGTGAACTTACATAAGGTATACATTAGGTACCTTAACAATTAAGTCTTTTTACTCTTGCATCTATGTCTTTACTTTTTAAAAGCAGTTGAGTTTATTATTCAAGAAACTAAACAATCTTTTAGTAACTTTAAAATAAGGGAAGAAATTATTGCATATGGGCTGTCTTCAGTCCTTTCCTACTGAGATAGGTGGTAGAGAAAAACACTTTCACTGTAGTAAATAAGGTTGCCCTGTGTGAGAATTACATTTCTTTTCAATCATTTGCGCAGATAAAATAAAATACTACATATAAACAGGTGTTGTCTGAACACTTCCCTACAGTCTGTATAGGTTGAAATAAAAGCTGCCATTGTTATTAGAATCACATTAAAATTATTTTACCATTCACATACACTTAATCAGTGAAACCTTCCTAGGAATACTTTATAAAAAGAAACAGAGTGTCTAAATAAAATCACATTTTTCTTTTCCTCTTCTCTTTTTCTTTACCCCCCTATTTTTCTCACCCTTTCTTTGGATTTCTTGAATCTGCATTAGTGTAAATGCCTTCTCCTGGAGTCCATTAAACGTATTTTTGCTGCTTGTTTAACATGGTAAGCAACCATCTTTAAAGGAATATTTGTTTTTAAGGACTCTGCAGAATCCAGTGAACACAGAGAATCACAGAGAACAGGAATTCCTAGTTGTGGAAAAACGCATCTTTAGGTTTCAAAATTAAATAAAGCAGATGGTATTTAAATTATACAGAATAGAAATGGAATGATGGATATTTTAAGCTATTCTACTCAGTTGAAGAATTGTTGAATGGAGATTTATTGTTTCACATGATGTGCCCATCATCTTATACATACAGTGTAAATACTTGTGACTAGAGTTGTGTTTTTCTTTATTCCTTTGCAAAAAAGAGTTTGAAGGTGTTAAGTGACAGACAGGATGATGCGTATTTTATAATTACATGGCATGAAGCTTTGGCTGCAGCACATTTCAGTGCTTCAGTGGAGTCACTTGAATCCTGAGTCCTGCAATTCAGGTAAGTTTGTCTATGACATTAGGGACCGATCTAGCCATTGACAAGTGACTGCAGAAGCTGTGCTGTGGCAGCCAGCCAAAGCAATTATTTAGGATTCAAGCTAAAAAGCCTTCTTCTCCCATATCCTCTCTTTCCAGGGTCATGTAGGGATAAAAAGAACTGTAAGGTGGTCTTTTCCCAGCAGGAGCTGAGGAAGCGGCTAACACCCCTGCAGTACCATGTCACTCAGGAAAAAGGGACAGAAAGGTAAGGTAAATTCTAAGAAAAGTCATTAAGCAAGAATTTTCTTCATCACCTTCCATTCCACCCCTTTGGGCCCTCTTCCATGACATTTAATTGAAAGAATTCTACACACGATTTGCTAAAATCTGCAAAGTAGTATCCTTGAAAATGGTAATGTTTAGGTTAAGACTACATTTTATTTAATCTTCCCCTGACTTAATGAACACTCTATCTTATGTAAAGTCACAAGGCTTTTGTTAAGGCCTGTTTTTAGTTTACTACAAAATGTGTGGAAGTAATAGCGATTTAGGTACATTTTTTGGGAAGACATCACAGTAAGCAAAACCATGAGGGGCATGGCGCTGTGCCAGGATGCTGAAATTTTGAAGGTGGCCATTGTAAGTATAAACGTTTTGGCTGCAAAAGAAGGTAGCATAATTTAGTTCCTTTCTACCCCACTCCAATTTCTTTTTGAAGCACATGTGGAGAAAGTATTTATTGGCTCATTTGTGGTTGGAATGTCAAAAATTTTCAATAACTGCCCTCACATGGCTTTGGTCCTTGGAAGTTCGCCCTAAATTCTGGGGAAAAAAAAAAAAGAGTTTGTTCACTTCCAAGACTGTTTTTAGTGAATAAAATCTCTCTCAGCTGATTCCAGCTCAAAGGTAACTTGCCAAGGTCCAACCATTTTGTTGTCTAATTTATATCAAGAAGCTTGGCAGTAGGCCGTAACTTACCTCTGATCCAAATTTATTAATGATGTAATTTCTTGTTTTCATTCATGAACTGAAAGAGTTCTTTACCACACATGGGGTCCTTGTTAATAGGCAACACTCTCTTCCTGTCATCGTATATACTGTTTACTCAATTTACCAAATGTTGAATTTCTGACAAAGTCCACCCTCACCACACAATGAGTTAGTGGTGGGCTTCAGTCTCAGCCCAGGAAGACTCTGACCCATACTGTTGTGTACATGACTAGCCAAATGATTTAATGCACACAAACAACTAGAGATTAGGTCATTCTTAAAAATTCTGTTTATAAAAAAATTGGACCTCATAAAGAGGGTGAAAGGATAATAAAAACAAGCTGCAGAGCACATAGACTTTTTGTTGGGCTAGCACAGCTGATTTGTATTAGCTGAATGACCTCCTAGCCTTTAAGATTGTTAACTTAGAAAAATATTCCCTTAAAGCTGCAATATTCCTTTTCAAACCAAAAAATAAGACTCCTTCCACTTGAAGTCCTGGACCATTTTGAATTTTCTGGTATACACTCTTGGATACTGTAGAGTAGCAGAAGTCTTATGTAATAATGCTTTTTTGTAAATCTGAACTACATTTTTTTAAATAGGAATTTTTTTCTCTAAACATTACATAACTAGATGGTCTGATTTTTTTAATTTAACATGCACTAGTTTGGAGTAGTTATATGCACATTTTATTATATAGATTTGAAATATATCAGTAATGTTCAGATTTCCATATGTTTGGTCTGTTCTCATTTTAGGACCAAAACCCCTTAAAATATTTATTAAAGAAATATATTTTAACCAAGTATGTTCTATAAAAAAAATGCTAAGGTTAATTCATTCTTTTGTTTATTGTCTATCAGTGCCTTTGAAGGAGAATATACACATCACAAAGATCCTGGCATATACAAATGTGTTGTTTGTGACACTCCATTGTTCAAGTAAGTGTTTAAAAAACCTGTGGATATGGGACTATCACAGATGGCAACGGACTAGTTCTTGCTTGTTCATAGTAGCATCTCACCATTACTAAATTTTTTTATTACTGTTATTTTCATTTCCAGCCCTACAAAAGAAGTCATTACTGACTTTCATGGTAAATTACCAGCTTGATAGACTGCTTGATTTTTCATTACTTGAATCTTTAAAAATACCAGCATTAACTTGTTCATCACAGTAGCCAGGGAACTTAACAGTTATGAAAAAGATTTTGATGAATATAGAATTGTATGTATTGGTTTTTATATCAAGCAAATGTCATAAATTTATTTATTTACTAGGCCATAATTAAAGTTATTCATGTATATCCTCAGATTGAATAGTATATGTAAGTAGATTACTAGTACTTTTGCAATGAAGGGCAATATCTATATTGAGAATAGCTTGGAAAGTATCACAGTTGTCATAAATTTGTGAGCAAATTACCTAATTTTTTAAAAGTTGATCCCAAAATCTTTATTTTTAAAGATCCTAACCAGTAGCTTACTATAAAATGATAGTACTTAGACTTTTTCAAGAAAATAGTTAATTTAGACAATGTATCCTGGAAATTATGTATCTTATTCAAGTAAGAAAATCTTTACCAAAAGCTGATCTGGGTGGAGAAAAAAAAAACTAGAAACCTTGAACCAGTATTTCTCGTGAGGTTGCTAATTTGGGGGAATAAAAAGTCAAAACTTAATTGTGAATATATATAATTTACTTAAAATAGAATTACAAATATCCTAGGGAAATGAATAAAAAAGAATGTGATACTTGTAGCATGTAAAATATACTTTAATATCTTTCCATAAATGTTTCCCTTTTAAAATAGGACCATTTACAGATTTTCCAGAAATAACAGGAAATAGTAGTTTCCTTGAAAAAAATTTTTAAAAAGTTTAAAACTTTTCTTAACTTGCATAAACCTTGTTAAACATTAGCATTGCTTAAGGTCTGTTCTGAATTCTTACATATTGATTCTTCATGTTAAAAACCAGTCCTTCAAATTGTCACCCATTTCCTCTCAGAAAAACATCTTTTTATTTCAACACCTTTAGCTTGTGTCGTAATAGTTGATATAACACTTTAAGATAGAGCTGAACCATGTTAAACTTGTTAATATAAAAAATGGTAAAAATTGGCCACATCCCCTTTGTTTTTTAAGATTCTCCATCTCTTTCCCTATCATATGATTCAGTGAAGTAATGAATCTAAGGAAAACTTGTTTTAAATAAGAAACAGAACCACTGTAAATGAAGGATTTAACCCATGTGAGATTTTAAGTACAAATACTAATATTTGTTAATAATAGCATGACTGTTATCCAGATATAGGTATTTGTGGGGGTTGGGAAGTTTTACATTTGATTGTAACATTACCTCTCATACTTTTAGCGTTCTTGTAAGGGAAGCTTCTCTTTTTCAATTGTTTGCCTTTCTTTACTTGGTTTCTTGTTAATTTCAGGGGAAAAAATAATCCCTGCTGTAGCCATCATTGTAGAACACATAGTTCAGTGGTCTGGTGCTAAGTCTTACTGAAGAACTTATATCCTGGGTGTCCACAAAGACTCTCCAGGTGCCACAGGGCATTGGCCATTTTGAGGAAATTAATTTTATGGTTCTCCAGTTATATGTTTACTTTCTAAAATTGATGTGTTAAAGATTCTATAGTTGGCCACTTTTTCCATCTTATTTCCTCTATCTTAATTGCCCTTCTTTCACTTCACAAAAGGCATCAGACCTTTCTCCCTTCCCAAATTTTACTATGATTTATTGCTGCAGGATACTATTTCTAAGGCATTAAACAAAATGACAGCTCAGGAATGTATTACTTCTGAAGGACAGACTCATAAAAGCCAGGCCAAGAAAACACTGAAAAATAGAGAACTGAAAAAAAAAAAAAAAAAGAAATAATACTCCACTGGGGTAAGACTCAGTCTGCCTGTCTACTGTCTGCTTATCTATTTTCCCACCTGTTGCTTGTCTGTCCATTTTAATATCTACCACTGTGATGGTCACTATGAGATTACACATCAACATGTTTAAACAGATCTAAAAAAAATGAAAGTATTTTTGGCATAATGAATAAATTTGACTTGTTGGAGAGGTATGGTACTGAGGAGTGGCTTTGCAAATTAAAATTTATGGAAGCATCTCCATTCATTTATTGATCTAAATATGTAGCCCTAAGGTTTTGGTAAAAATATATGTGAGCATATAATCCATATATAAAATACCAAAAGACCATTATTTGCAATTATTACATTGATTTAAGACATTTTAACTGTTAATTTGAAATATACAAGGAGGTATGTATGTTAGTACCCAATCTGATATAAAACCACACAGTAACAGGAACAGGAAAGTAATATAAAGAATTATTAACTGTCACCAATGATTTTGGTGACAAGGGAGTAGCTAGTAAGAAGTAAATAGAAATTTTAAAGAATGCAGACATATTAATTATTTAACTTAGTACTAGAAGTCCTGGTCAGAGCAATTAGGCAACAAGAAGAAACAAAAAGTATTCAGGATGAAAAGAAAGAAGTAAAGCTGTCATTATATGTAGATGGCACATAGGAAGCCCCAAGTATTGCACCAAAAAACTGTTAGAAATAATAAACAAATGCAGTAAATTTGCAGGCTAAAAAAGAAATATGCAAAAATCTGTTGTGTTTCTATACTCAAACAATGAACCAGCAGAAAGAGAAGTGATGGAAATAATACCATTTATGATTACAGCAAAAATAATGCACTACTTAGGAATTTTCCCTAATAAATTTCATTGAAAAAATGTAGAGCTTGGACATTATTGAAAGAAATTAAAAGTGACACAAGGAAATGGAAAGATATACCATATTTATGTATCAGAAGAATCAACATTGTCAACCTGGTCATTTAACTTAAAGCAATATACAGATTCAGTTCAATCCTTATTCACAGAAATAGAACAAAAAACTCCTCTAAGATTTATGTGGAACTGCAAAATATCTAAAATATCCAAAACAATCTTGAGAAAAAAAGAACTAAAATAGAGGTATCATGCTCCTTAACTTCTAATTATACTGCATAGATATAGTAATCAAAATAGTATGATATAAAAAAACTAGGCATATAGATTAATGGAATAGAATCAAGAACCCAGTATAAAAAGCATATATGTTCACACATATATGGGCAACTGATTTATGACAAAGAGCTAAGGGCATACAATAAAAAAAGAAGAGTTTCTTGATAAAAGTTGCTGGGAAAGTGTGACAGCCACATGCAAAAGAATGAAACTGGATCTCTACTTACACCCTATCAATTTTAAATGGATTACTAAATCTAAATGTATTATTAAAATCAATTAAAATGTATTAAAATCTTGAATGTGAGATCTGAGACCATAAAATGCATAGAATAAAGCAGGTGATAAACTGTTTGATAATGGTTTTAGTGATGTCTTTGTGGATTTGTCTCTAACAGCAAGTGAAACAAGTTTATCAACTCATAGAAAGACATTACAACTAAAAACCTTACACACAGCAAAATAAAATGAAAAGGCAGCATACTGAATGGGAAAAGATATTTGCAAACCATATATCAGATAATGGGCTAATATCCTAAATATTTAAATAACTCATACAACTCAGCAACAATAGGAAAACCAACATGCTTAAAAAATAGGCAGAGGGTCTAAATTAGCATTTCACAAAGAAGATATACAGGTGACCAACAGACACATATAAAAAGATGTCTTACATTGTTTATCATTAGGGAAATGCAAATCAAAACTACAATGAGATTTCACTTCATACAGTTAGAATGACTATTATCAAAAAGTCATTAAGTAGCAAGTTTGGCAAGGATATGGAGAAGGAGGAACCTTGATGTACTATTGATGGGAATGTAAATTGGTGCAGCTACTATGGAAAACAGTATGGAGGTGCCTAAAAAAAAAATAAAAATAGAACAACCGTATGACTCAGTAACCCCACTTTTAGGTATTTACTCAAAGAAGGTTGGATCTTGAGGATCCATTATGTGTGTTAAGGGAAATAAGTAAGAAGGAGAAGGACAAACCTTGTACAGTTTCACTCATTTGTGGAATGTAAAGAAACAAAACAAACAAACATAGTAGAAACAAATGTTTTTGACACTGATGACAGAATAATAGTTACCAGAGGGGAAAAGTAGGGAGCAGATAGGTAGAGGGATCTGATTGGTTGGCGGTGGATTTGAGGAAATGTGTTGAGCTGCCGAAGTGAGAAACTGTACATCTGAAAGCTATACTAAGGTTACCTCAATAAAAAGAACAAAACAGTAATGCATAAGTGGCAAATGAAAGGACTGAGACAGAGCCATCGACAAACTCCCCTTCCCCTACCTTCCTTTTCCTGGGACTGAGTATAGATCTTATAGAACAAGGTATGGCTGTCGCTCACTAAACAGCAGACAAGTCACTGCGGTGCCATGATTGTGGAAATCCATTCTCTGGAACTTGTTGGAAAGCCCCCTTTGGGGTCCTGGGAAAAGCTGCTTATTGGAGGTGTCTCACCCAAGGCACTCCACTACAAAAACACCTGAGGGGAGTGTGGCTGCTGGTTCCTGTGCACTGAAGGCACCAGCTGGTACTGGAGGACATGTTCATATTGTCAGAGCTGGAGAAGCTGCTTGGGTTGCAGGAGCCTGTCACCAGAACCTGTCTGTGGGAGGAGTCAGGTGCTGGAGAAGCTGTGTACCCTGAAGGAAGTGGGTGTCAGAGAAGCCACACAGGTTTCAGGGACCTGGAGTAGAGCAGCTAAATGCATTGTAGGAGCAGTTGCTAGAGAAAGCTCTGCAAGGGCCTGTTGAGCAAACTCACTTATGCCAGGAAGAGAAAACCTTTCCTCCTGTTTTTGTCCTATGCTTTCTACTGCCACAGTGTAACATCTAGCCAAACTGGAGGAACTACATTAAAAAGGGCCCAGCTCTACATT